AGATGGGAGTTGTTCCTTGCTTAGCTCATAGTGTCGGAACCCATCCTGCTTCTCATCGACAAAGGGACTCAGTCGGTGGCAGAGGAAGGAGGGTGGGAGAGCCGAGGACCAGACCAGTGTCAGGCAGTAGTGGGGACGCCTCCTGATGCCACTCCCTCCGTTCCAGATCTGGCAGGGGATCGACATTGAGACCAAGATGCACATACGCTTCCTCAACATGGAGACCATCGCCCTCTGCCACTGACTATGCAAGGGAGGGGTGGTTGGAAGTTGGGTGTGGCCGCAGCCCTTTGCTCAGCCCTTTGCCTAAGCTGCTGTAACAGTCAGCGCCCCTTCACTTATCCTTCCCTTGGGGTGTGGTGTCTGGGACTCTGCTGTTTTTATCTCCAATGTCAATAAAGGTTTCTTAATGAGCCTGGCATCCCCGTTCGCCCTTCACGTGCCTTAAAGGAATCTGATCCCTCGTGACAAGAGACTGATTCTAAGGAGCAGGCAGAGATTGGTGAGGAAGGACCAACGGATGTTCTGTCTGCTGGTCCTTGTGTACCATCTGTTTCTCCTTGAAGGATCGGGTATCCACCGGCAGTCCCCCCCCCCCCCCACCCGGGGAAGCCTGGAAAAGCCTGTCGGTGTGGGCAGGCTTCCAGAAGACCTGGAATGCAGGTAGTGGGGCTTTCTCAGCACCATCATGGCGGCTGCTGCCAGCTCCTGATGGAGAACAGCTGCGGCCAGGACTGCCACAGTTCCTCCTGACACCGTGGACTCAGCTGTGAGCCCAGGACACCCCGGTTCCCAGCACAGACAGAAGTGGAGACCCGAGGTGCCTACCGCAGATGAGGAGCTCACACAGTCCCGCTTTTCACCTCCCATTTCAGGACGGGCGGGTGAGGGCGGGGCCGGAAGAGCGGAAATGTGTCCAGTGCTGAGACCACCTGTGACCAGGCTGTCCTCACACGGCTGGCTGGTGTTTGCTCTCCAGGTCTGTCTGTTTCAGGATGGTTTGTTCCCTCTGTTGACACTGGGAGGTGCCTTTCTAAACTCTGGGAGACTGGCACCAGCTGCTGTTGGCATGCTTAGTGAGGTTTCTTGTCCACAGCCCAACAGTGAGCATGCTTGGTCTCAGTTGTGTAGTTCACGCCCTAAGGGCCACAGAGGGCATCTGTGGTAAATCTCCACTCTGTCCCCCACCCTGTTTCCTTTCACTTCCCTGTCACGTGTAGGTGGACGTGGCTGTGCGTGTGTGTGTGTGCGTGAATGCATGCTGGCCAGAAGAGGGGCTCAGATCCTTTGGAGCTGGAATTAGAGGTTCTGGGAGGGCACCTGGCTTAATATGTGTGTGCCAAGATCCAAACTGTGGTTCTCATGACGGCACAAGTGTTCTTAACTGAGCCGTCTCACAAGACCCTGTTGTGATGTGTGAGCCTGGGCATATGTGTGGAGGTCAGAGGACTTTTGGGAGTCAGTTCTTGTCTTCCACCATGTTGAGGTGAGGTCTCTTCCAGTCTATCTGCTCCAGGCCAGCTGAGTCACAGGTTTCTGGGCAGCTTTTCTGTCTCTGCCTCCCACTTCACATGAGGTCTGGGATTACAGGTGTCGGCCATCACATTCAAATTAAAAACAAAAACCAAAGTATGCCCACGTGAATTTGTACACACGAGTGTGGGTGCTCCAAACCAAGAGTGCGTGAGACAGACCTGGAGCTGGAGTTACAGGCAGCTGTGAGCTGCCTGATGTGGGTGTGGGAATTGAACTTTTTTTTTTAAACATGGGTTCTGGGGATCGAACTCAAGCCATTAGGTTCTTGCAGCAAATGCTTTCACTTCCTGCTGGCCTGTTACATGCATTTTAGTTCCGTTGGTTTAGTAAAATAATGGTGTCCGTCGTTACTAGTACAACTATCCTGCTGCTGCCCAGGGCACAGCGACTTATGCCTGAAGGAACCCCAGCAGTCTCCTCTCTGCCTGTGGGTGCTTGTCATGCTGATGGCAGGCTGTGTCTCCATGGTGATGTGCCAGCTTCAGTAGCTTCTATGGCTTCATGCTGCTGTTCCTAAGCTGTCTGAGGAGGTTCTAAGTGGTGGGCTAGTCTTCTCATCAACAGGTGTTCTCCTGTTTCAGATACGAAGGGGGCCCCAAGCCACTGCTGAGGATGAGGTTCAAATTAGCATTTCCTGTTTAAAAGCAGAAATGTGCTGTGATCAGTTACAGGGGTGAGCAGGCTGCTCAGAGGAATGTGTTAGGATCGCTGTGGGACTGGTTGGTTACTATGTCGCACCTCAGAGGCGAGGAGTGAGGAGCTGGGGGATCTGCAGGTGCTCTGAACTGCTTGGTAGGCAGGACTGGGCCTGTGACTACCACCTGTCACCACCACTCTTCTCTGGACTGGTGAGGACAGAGGTCTGAAGGTGCTGCCAGGGCTGCTCTTCTGAATGCAGGCCTCGCCTGGCCACGGCCTGACAAAGCAGCAGGCAGGAACAGATAGAGGGGCTCCTGTCTCCCTGCTCAGAGCCAGGCAGACTGTCAGCTTCAGTGAGAACCCTACAAAGGTGCCCTCCCCACTCTATCCCCCAACTCGGGGGCTGCCTGGCTTCTGTAGGGCCTGCAGGCTCAGTGGGCAGCCATCACCTTGGCTTCTCAAGGGCCTGGGTTTCCTGAGACTCTCCCAATTTGTCGCAGTTGTGTCCTTCTCAACAAAGGCAGTTCATGAATGTAGAATGTTTTCATAAATAATGGATCGCCGTCCCTCAGCCCACGCCGGGAGTTCTAGTAGGGAAGACGCTGCTGTGAGGGACGTGTATCAAACGTGCTTGTGCGTGCTGCCCGCCATTGGCCTGCTAATGTCTTTGAAGCCCTGGGCACGGCTAATGAGACCGACTCACCGGGAAGCACGCTCCTCCGGGCACACAGGCGTGCTCATCTGCTCACAATTGCCAGGACCAGGCTCAGCTGGGTCCCGTTCCCGCTGCAGAACTCACCTGGGGCAAAAACCGCTCTGTTCCCAGCATGCTCTGCGCCAGGCTTGCTCTGCGATAGGTGGGCAGGACCATGAACTGGCATAAACCTGCTCCTACGGAAGTAGGCGCAGACCAATCCCTTAGGGCCCCGTTGGGGTTCTGCCCTTGGAGCAACAAGAGCTGAAGGTCACTGCCCTGGCACAGTCCTGCCAGTGGGCTGTGTGGCCTGCAGGTAAGGGAGGAAGCGGGTGCATTGTTACCTGCAGGACTGCTGGGATATCTGGCCCTGGTGCAGCCAGGCCGCCCACCCCTGTGGGAACACGAGCCAGATGAGGTGCCCAACCAGCAGCGTGAAGCAGGTATGTACTGATATCTTTTTGGGGACAGGTGTCAAGCACACTAGTGATCATCAGAAACTCTGGCAACCAACCAGGTGGAAGCAGAAGTCACATGTCTGAGGGTGCCGGTGAGCAGGGGCTGTGAGGCCCATGGGCTGTATGTGGAGCTGGATCCTCAGGTGGGCGGAGGTCTGGTGGGCTCTTTATATTCTACAGTAGTCAGGTGAGATCTAGGCCTGTGTTATTGCCCTGTTATCAACTTTTGTTTCTAAAATCAGGGCTTCAAACTTAAAACCCTCCCGTCTCAGCCTCCTGGGGGTGGGACAAGTGGGAGTCACTGTGCGCCACTTATTTTTGTTGTTGTTTTGTTTTTTGTTTGGTGGTTTGTGAAACAAATGCTTATTCTGGTCCATTTCCCAGTGTGCTCTGTAATGCAAACGTCATAGAAACAGCTTTATGGACAGCTGCAGCCTTGTGACATGCAAATCATGGGAAAGGGACAGAGACCAGAGCAGCCTGCAGCTCTGACCCCTTAGGGAAGCAGGTTCTTCAGCACTTGAACAAAACCACTGGGCTCTGGTTCACGTGCCTGTGTGCTGTGCTGATGGAGAGGGCAGACCCTTGTTCTGACTCTGGGTTCTGTCCCCACCTGCCTGCAGTTGACCAGGCTCAGTTCCGCTGAGCTGGAAGCGGCCCAAGGAGAGGCAGAAATGCAAACACCTGCCACAAAGGCTGTCCTTGCACGCCATGACCTTGAGGAGCTCCTGTTGGAACCAGGCCACCCTCCACGGCACCTTTGTCTCTGCCACAGCTGGATAAACGCCAGCAGGGCTTGGTGTAGGAACAGTCACAGGAGGGCAACCTGGTGACGACAAGCCAGCAAGGGGGCAGACTTATCTTCCCAGGAAAATGGTGGCACTCTAAGGGCCCCTGCAGTGGGTAGCGAGGCTGAGGGGTGGGTATCCTGGGAAGAGCAGCTGTGACAGCAAGGCTCAGCTGGGCACGGGCTCGAGTTCCTTTCCCTAGTGCAAAGCAGGAGGCAGCATCAGAGGCTGAGCCCAGGCTGGTGCCCAGGGGGGAGTCTGCTACCACACACACAGGCAGTGGGGGCCAAGTCACCGCAGGCCTGCCACAGTAGCCAGGTAACCATCTGGCCTGGATGTGTGGCTACAATGCCACGGTCCGTGCCATCTGCTGCTTCAAGCAAGAGCTCATGAGGAGCGGTGTCCCTGTCTGAACCACTATCCTGGGGCAGTTATCAACTAAAAGCCCCTTCACTAGGGATGTGGTTCTCAACTCCAAGCAAACGGCCTGTGGTACGGCCACGTGCCACTTAACTAGTGGACTGGGGTATGCCACGCCCTCGTGGAAGGGCTGTGAATTTATAGTGGGAACTTAGTGCTTTGCCCCTGGGGTTGCTGGCTTTCCAGTTCAGGAAGAATGGAAACCCCACTGCTGGGGAGGGTTGGTGAGTCTGTCGTTCAGCTGAAAGCCACACAGTCCCCGAGACATTTCATGGGAACTGCTGTCTGGACTTCTGTAGAAGCAGGGCTGTTCATGGCCTCCATGGTCAGCCAGCCCAGCCAAAGACCTCTTGCTGTCGTGGTGTCCCACCCCCCAGCTGTGGGTGATAAACGGAAGACTTCACGACCGCCAGGGGTCAGCACCGAGCCCCCTTCAGGAGCAGCAAACGAGGCCACGACTGAGTCCAGAACCTTTAATAACAGCAGACATGGCATAAGGCAAACGGCAAGCTACAGGGGCGTGTCCTGGTGTCTCCTGGCTTCTGAGAAGATGCTCAGCAGCAACCCCAGAAGCCGGTGGGGAGATCTCTGATAGGTCTGCTGGAGGGGGAGTCTCCCAGGAGGTTAGCTGACAGTAGGGACCACCCAGAGCTGCTGTGAGGAGCCATGTCCCCAAGCGCCCTGCATGAAGCCACCCCAGCTGCTGGCAGTGTGTGTACCTCCGGTCACCTCTGCAGCTGCTCTCCAAGAGCTTCCTGGTCCTTCCTGGTCGTGCGGTGCTGACTGACAAGTTTCTCCAGTATTCAGGCTGTAGAGAAGGCCTAGCAAGACCTGGCCAGGAGGGGGCACCAGCCCAGCAAGAGAGAGAGCTGCTGCCTGTTGGCCCTCTGATGTGTGGGAGGGGGACTGCAAGGAGGCCATGCTCAGCTTCAGCTAGACAGTGGATGTCTGAGGCCTGACTGTCTTGAGCTGGGAAATCTTCATGCCACAAAAGCACATACTGGTTTGAGGTGTGTCTCAGTGGGAGCACTTGCCTTGCAGGCATCTGAGGCCCCAGGTTTCATCCCCAGCACTGGGAAACAAGACCAAGTCCCTATGGGCCCGGGAACCATGAGTACCTCAGGGCTGGTCTCAGTATTATTCTGGCTAGAGGTGGGTCAGCCCCCCCCCCCGAAAATGTACGCCCTTTTTTCAACTGCCTTGGTCTCCAGAGCACAAAGCTTCCCCTGCCCCAATGGCTTTTGCTGTCTGCAGACCCAGCATGCATGTCCTGACCACCTGCCTACCACGCTGCTTTTGGCTACCCGCTGGGACGGGACTCTGCCTGGTCTTTGCACACAAGTGCTTTCCCTGACTGGCTCTCCTGGCCACTGTGGATCTATCTGCCTGAACATTCTGCAGGCAGAGTGCTGAGGGAAGAGGTACCGCCAGCCAGGCTTGGGAACCATCCCCAGGGAGTGAAGGAGTGGCCCTTTCCTCCCCGGGGAAGGATGGATGTCTCCTTCGCAGCAGGTACTGAGGAGAGCAGGTGAAATGAGCAGTCTTCACAGGTAAGGTCTGTAATGACGAGCTGTGAGAACCACAGAGGAGGGCTGGACTAGGTGGGGTCGGGAGACCACTCTGAGCGCTTGCCTACACTGAGGCTCTGGGTCCCGCCCCCAGCACGGCACACAGACCAGCAAGGTGAGGCCCTAGAGTGTGGAGAAGCTCCCGTCACAGGCTGAGGTGTGTCCCCAGGTGAAGGAGAGCAGCAGACGTGGTGTGGGTGGTTCAGAAGCAGCACGGCTCTGTGGCCATGGCCGCCTGGGAGAGCACCGCCCCCAACTCCCACTGTGTGTGGAGCTTCTTCAGTTCTAGCGTCTGTAAACTGCCCTCCCACTTCTCCAGGAGGTGCTGGCCTAAACACTGTCATAGGGGAAAGACAGCGCTAGGTCATAGCTGTACCCAGCCATGGTGTCACAAGGAGAGCGGCAGACAGGAAGAGAGCTCTGAAAGGCCAGCTGGTCCACTGCAAACTCATAGGCATGGATCAGGCCACGATGCCTAGGGGAAGCAGATATGAACACCAGTCAGCAAGGCTGCTGTGGCACAGGCATGCAGTCGAGGCTAGCCCTCCGTTGTGACAGTATGTACGCGGAGCCCACACTATCAGATACGTAGACGCCACGACTGAGGTGAGCAGGGAGCCCCAAGAGACAATGTTTAAGAAGAGGCATCGCCTCTCTGTCAAGCTGATTGCGGTCCTGCTCTGCCCCAGATGCAGGAGCAGTTGCAGAATGTTCCATACAGACACTCAGTGCATGCTTCTGGTTGACAGCAGTCACTGTGTACCCTGCCCTAAGAGGAGTATGTGACTGGAAATGGGGAGGGGGCGGGGGTGGAGGCGGGGGGGGGTGCCAATACAACCACACTGAGCCATTTCTCAGGATGTGCCCAAACCCGCACTGACCTCCTGTGACAGGCGAAGTTGTCCATGTCAGAGTTGCGCACCACCTTCTCATAGGGCACGTTGGCGGTAATCAGGCTGTGGCTATTGAAGGAGACGTGGCGCACAGGGTGCCTGGAGCCACGGGGAAGAAGACTGTAAGGCTGGGGCAGCCTGCCCTGGCTGTGCACCCTGGAACTCTCTAGGCAAACTTTCCATTATGACGAAGCAGACACGAGCCGAGCCTTTGTCTGCCTCCATTTTGCATACACCTGCACCCTTTCCACATTTCAACCAATGCTTCAACAAGTTGGTGTGTTTGAGCCAAACCTGCTACATGGCAGATGTTGATGTAGCCAACAGAAGTGATGGCTACAACTGATAGTCACACTGTGATCCAGGAGACAACAGCGTGCAGTCTCCTGGAAATGGGTGCTTGTCCTCAGAGGTTCCTCTGCAGAAAGGAGTCCCATGCCACCCCAGCTGGGGCTGACTGAGGCCACTGGGGAGCAGGCCTTCTGGCTGGAGAATAACAGGAGAGTGATAAAGGAAGGGCTCGGCGAGGGAAGGCAGGCTGAGGGTGGGTGGTCAGACAAGCAGCCGGACTAGAGCTGGGTGCAGACCAGGACTCCTGCAAGAGAAAGCCTCACTTCCCTGGACCTCCCTCGAGTGCTGGAAAGATATGCTGGGTGTGGGCATCCTGAAAGGGCCACTGCAGAAGCCCAGAAAGGACAGTGCTGTCCTGGAGGTGCAGAGAACCAGCTCTCTACTGGTTTTCCTGAAATTGGGGAAACGCTGGATTCTAGTGTGGGAGCTTGCGCTGCCCTTTGGCGCCACCCGGTGGCACTATGGTGCATCATGGACATTAGGGAAGGGTGGGTTAAGAGCAGTGTGGTACCAGAGAATTCACCAACCTGTAAATCAAAAAAAAATGAAGGCAAAGGTAGAGCTGCCTTGACTTTGCGTCTGGTGGGAGAGATGCACGTTATGCTCTCCGCTGTGCACTTCCACAGTGCCACACTCTCTTTACCGAGGCGCTGACGCTCAGCCAGACAGGACTCTGGGGCCCGTGAGCGGTGGGAGATCCAGGTTGCTTCTAAATTCAGAACTGAGGCAGGCCCAAAGGAGCAATTTTACCAGGAGGCACCAGTCAGAGTCTCCTCTGCTCAAGGCTACATGAGCTGTCTTAGCTGGCGTTACTTAAATTGCACACTATGTGCCCATCTTCATAGTGAGAGAAGGGGCAAGCCACACACCTGGACACACAGTCTGGCACACGGGGACACATGACAACCCATCTGCCTTCACACTGGAAATTCTCCTCTCCTCGTAACTAAATGAAGGAATCTACAGTAACCACATAGCTGTGGAAAGTTCACTAGGATGCTCAGCAAGGCCGCGTGTTACTCAGGGCGAAGTAATGGGGAAGAGAGAGGAGCTGAAGTCTCAGGACTGGGCTATCTAGGTCTCCTCTCCTGCAAAGGTGCTTTCAGGAAGGCGGCAGCGTGGGCACAGGTGGCCTGGGGACGCCCACACACCGCAGGCCAGCTTACCTGGAGTGAACCTCCCACAGCTTCTGGTTCATGCGGTAATCCCACACGGACACCAGTCCCTCCTCGCCCCCGCTGACAATCTTCCAGTCATCCATCTGGACTGCGGACACCCCCAGCTGATGGGCAGACAGTGACAGGGCGATTTTATCGCTGCGGAGGTCATGGAGCCTAACTCTGGAAGATGCAAGAAGAGCACCAGCAGGAGAGGGTTAGTGAGGAAGCCTGCAGCTCCGCCTGCTTCAGCTGTGTGGTCCCTCAGCAGTCCATGGGGCTCCCCTGCAGGGCTGACCAGGCAGAGATAAAGTGTATATCATCTATGAGATGCACACTCGCCACTTCCAGTGGCCTGGGGTCATTTTAACTCACTGACTCCCCAGGCCTGCAGGCATCACGGAAAACTTGTCTTTTGCTCAAAGTGAGCATCTGCCTGTCGTCGCGTGGACCCCGGGTCTAACCTGACGCACATGCCGAGGATGAAGGTGGCTACTGCAGTTCTGTGTTAGAAAAGTTGACTTCGGAACAAATTTTATCAAAGCCATGGGGACCTAACTTCCTTTTTAAAGACAGCATGTTTTATGGATTTCAAAATCTGCTTCCCTGGTCTCTATAATCTCCCCAGCTTTTCTGTTTGAGTTCATTTTTTTTAAAACCTGCAAAATTGAAAATTGAGATGAATAAGTGACTTTCTAGAACAGATTAAGTGATCAAGAGCAATGGACAAGGGCTGGCCAGGTGTGTAAGGGGCAGCTGCCCACAAGGGCTCTGAAATCCAGAAGCCAGGGGAGGAGGCCGTCAGCGCAACTAACATCAGGCAGACAACAGGACCACAGGAAGCCCCTGGAGACTAGCTGAGCTACCACGTACTGTACACAGAAGAAACCCGCAGTCAGCTCCACGAGGTGTAATCATACCAACTCAGGACTTCCGGCATGCATCTGCTTCCAGACAGCCAGGCTCGACAGCACTGCTCCTGCACCTTGCTAAAAATGGTGAATGCACCTAAGATCAGGAATGACACCAGGAGAAACAGCAACTTATCCACATTAATATGCCCAACTCAACATTAAAGATTATATTTGTATGTGTGTACCACATGTGTGCAGTGCCTGCAGAACAGAGGAGGCCATGAGATCCTCTGGGACTGGTGTAACAGTTGCTACTTGTCACATGGGTGCTGGGAATTAGACTGGGTCCTCTGCAAGAACAGTCTGTGCTGTTCACTGCTGAGCCACCTCTCCAGCCCCAACAGCTAATTTTGTAGAGACAACTGCTAATTGTAAGAAACATAGTCAAGGAGCTGGTGGAGAGGACCTGAGTCTGTTGTCTGCCCGACGTGGGTGCTAGGAACCAAACACCTGTGACTCCTGCTGCTGGGGCCCCAGTGCCCTCTTCTGACCTCTGTGGGCACCATATGATCTTAAATGGACTTCAGTTTATGAAAACATTTAATGTCAGTATGCTGTGTTTTCTCAACTCAGAGCTGAGTTACATATAATACCAGCTACCTGAGAGGCTGAGGCAGGAGGATTACAAGTTTCAGGCCACCCTCAACAGCTAAGTGATATTCTGTGTCGAATAAAAATGTGCCTGGAATGGGGCTTGGTGGGTGAGCTCTTGCCTGACCAGCGGAGGAAGGACTGCTAGAGTCTGAGGCTGGTCTGTGCTGTGCAGCAAGACCTTGTTTCAAAAAAATAAAAGATGAGTGGGAGGGGCTTCTTAAAACCCACAAGCCACTCTAAAAAGATTATACAAGATCTTCAGATGATGAACAGGAGTATACAGCCGAGGCTCCTTCCTCACCGGTTCCTCCAAGTTCACAGTGAGAGGAAAGGAAAAGCAAGGAGCACCTCTTGAGCATACTGTGTCCAAGTCTACCGGTCTTAAGAAGTAAAAACAGATGCTACCCCTATATCACCTCTCTTCAGCAAAAACAGAGCCTGTTACATGCCTCATACCCTGGGCCTGATGGTGAGACCCATGGCTGGTGCACACACAAACTCCTCTGCAGGGACTGAGCTCGAGTCCCCCAGTGTGAGGGCTAGGCTGGACTGGCTTAGAAGGCATTCCCACTTGGGTGTTTCCAGAGTGGACACATTCGGCTGCCATGGCTTTCCACCTTGATAGACCATAGCTTCAAACCCTGAACTCAAAATAAACTCTTAAGCTGTTTCTGTCACAAAAATGAGAAAACACGATGAATAGAGTAAGGACACTCAGGCTCCTGTGGGCTCGCCGCGTGTGCTCATCAACACAGCCCAGGGACAGGCTTTGGTTTCAGACAGCTTGGGCAGCCTCCCCCCACACCACATAATGTGGTAAAAACAACAAAACTAACAACACCCTTTACTGCTCTGCTGGGCTCAGGAACTGCCTCTCCACTGCGTGAGAGCGGCAGAGCGTTTAGAGCGGAGCAGCTGGAGGGGGGTGAGGCTGCTGCCCTCAGTCCACACTGCAGCAGTGAGGAGCCACGCAACACCTTGACTCTTGCTTCAAAACAAGCATGCATCTTCCAGAATGAAGACACAGACCCTGAACACGAACTTCATGAGAAGGCAAGGAGCACAGTGCGACCAGCAGCGAGCGACACGGAGCGTAGGTGCATCACACCTAAGGAAGGTCCTAGAGAAAAATGGGCTGATAATGCCCAGGGGTTAGTGCTAGTCAACACTATCACAATAAAAACTACATTCTGGAAACTGTCATCTTAACAATGGGAGCATACAAAGAAGTTTTAAGCAGCCTGGGGAAGAAGGAATTACCTATTAAAAATTGATCATTAGACTTCCAGGGAGATTAGAGGCAGCATTAGAGATGCCATGAATTTGAACGACTGGATGGGGATGCCGTAGTAACCGCATCACATCAGGCAGCCACAGTGGAGCACTGGCAGACATTCAGAGCTCTACCTGTCAGCAGGTGACATGTCTACACCACCTGCAGAGGGGCCAGTGGGACAAGGACTGCTCAGCTGAGGCAGAGGTCACGGGCTAGTCCTCCTGAAGTGTGAGCAGATGTGTATGGCGACAGGCAGCTATCACGGAGCTGCGCGCTGAGGCCCCTATCGCACTTGCTTTTAGGTGCGGAGCATGCTTCCTATCAACGCGGTTCAGAAATTAAATGCTAACAGCAGCTCCTTGGGAAGAGCTAGATGTGACTATGCTGTTTAAAAGTCAGGACTCAGAGGGTGTTGGCTCCACCCTGGTGCGCACAAATGCGCACACCTCGTTTGTTTCAGACAGTTTATCTTTTTCATAGCTAGTGATAAGTAGGTATATATAACATGGAACCACAGACATTAGGCATCATGGTACAATCCAGAATCCTAGTACCAGGGAGGTAAAGACACAAGGACTAAGAGTTCTAGGTCATTCTTGACTACATGGCTGTAACAAAGCAAGTTCAAGAAAACCTGTTGTAAAAAACATACTACCACCGTTGACAAAGAAACAACCAACAATCACAGTCTTGGGATGCAGAATCAAGACCACAAGGCAAGATGGCAGTGCAGACTATGTCTACAAGTGCTACTCACTCCCTGTCTCCAGCGAGGGGCTCTAAGTGCACACAGCTGCTTGTCCTCAGGCCTCCGGAGGCCAAGAGACCCAAGGCTGTGGGGCACCCAGGAGGGAGCCTGGGGCTGGAGCCCAGCATGGGCTTTTGAAAAGATGGGGGTGGAGTGTAAGCTGGCTATCAAGAGCCCCTCAGTGTTTACCGTGTGGCTGTAACACATGGATGCGGGTAAACACATTTGGACCCTTAGTTCAGAGTTTGTCGTCTGATTCTCTACTGTGTTTAGAGAGCGGCATGATGGTGTCAGATGAAGACAGCAGCAGAGACATCAGCAGCTCAGGTTCACGAGAGAAACAGAAACCACCCTGTGGAAGACCAGTCTTCTAACATCTTAAGAGAGACATCTGGCTTCTTGTCTCAGACAGAACTGAGTCCTGTCCACCCAAGCCATCAAATTCACATTAGGAAGCAGGTATCAGCCCAGAGCATCTGACAAAGTGTAGTACCAGCCCCAAAGGCAGCATGCCCTGGCAGAGCCAGCAGCCTCAGCACTCAAACTGCAGATTCCACGCTGGGAAACAGGTAGCCCAGCAAATGGGTGGAGACGTGCCAGGTTGACCAATTCCAGGGACAAGAAGGGGCCAATGGTAGATCCTGCGAATCCTCATCTAGTGAGTATCACCAACCTTGCTTGCTGAAAGAAAAATAATTGGTCTGAAAGCTCTAATTGTCTTATGTTTAATATTCATGGATGGGCTTGGAGGCCAGCCCCCCACCCCCACCCCGCAGCATTCACTAATGAAAACCGCACCATAGGAGGCAGCTTTAGCCCGCCAATTAAAACAAAAGACACCAGAACCTTCCAAAGACTCCAGCAGAGGAGCATCCATCAGATGGGCAGGAAAACGCGCTGGAACGGAGAGGGAGGCACGCTCTGGTTGGTCCTGTGTGAAGGGCTTTGAATAACTCATTATAACACTTGCAGATGGAGTGAGCGTAATGTTCGCGCCCTGCACGCGCCCTGGCAGCAGGCACCACACACAAGCACACCACAACTTTCTATGTGCTGGGCAGGAAGGAAGTGAGAAGACTCTAATTGGGGGGTCACACCTTGGGGCGTGTTTCCTACTGGTTTGGACTCCACAGTCCCGGATGATAACAAGGAGACTGTGCTGGCAAAACTGGCAGTGCCCAGACTCTGGGTTGGCTGTTCTTCAGGAAGAATGCAACCTTGGCTACAGTCAGATCCAGAAAATAAAGGTAAATGCATGGAAATCATTAACACACAAGTATTTTAAAATTATGACTAAATTAATTGGGAAAACTGGTATTTTCAAAAGATTAGTGCACACTTCCGCCTGACCTCGCTGTCCCCGAGCTGGGGAGGAAGGCTGCTCATAGGTGTATATGCAGAATCCACGCCTCACTCACAGCACCGAAGCCAGCCTTCTGAGATGTACATCTTAACAGCAATGGGAAACACATTTTTAGATGCATGGCATATCCAGCTTTGTCCAGCTGGGCTAAGCTTATAACATGTTCTGTGCCAAACCAGCATTGCGGTGTGAGGTTTCCACATGAAATACGAGCAGCTGTCCCTTTTGGGGTGATCCCAGAAGCTCTTAGCATCTGATTCCTCAAGGAATCTTCTAAACCCTAAGCTCTGTGGCTCACAAAAGGCCAGCCTGGGACAGCACTGATGGCCAAAGCAAAAGCTGAAGTACGGACACTTCTAGCTAACATTTCCACTTTAACTCTGCAGTGAGAATTCGCAGGCTGGCCCAGCAGAACACTCAAGGGCAAGCCTGGTGACCCGAGTGTCATCCTTAGAACCTTGGTAAGAGTGGTCGGAGAGAACCCATGCCACAGCTGTCTGTGTGCACAAGAGTGCAGGTGCCTACAGAGCCCAGAAGGAGCTCCAGGCAGTTGTGAGCCACCTGCTGTGGGTGCTGGGAGTCAAGCTCAGTTTCTCCGCATGGGCAGAGCATGCTCTTAAGTAGAATCATCTTTCTGCCCACTCACTACACAGCCCAAGCTGTGCTGAGACCTGTGGCTAACCCCCCAGGCAGCACACCACCACACACAACTCCGACACAGAGGTCCTCCCTTCATGCATGGAGACTGTTTGCAAGCCTGGCATTTGGAAGGATGTTCACTCTACCTAGTACACCCTAACCAAAAGATGCAGGGAAGTCTAGCCGGAGGCCAGTGGAACATAAACAGGGAGGAATCGGAACTGGAAACACACTCAATTTTTATGGTCAATTAATTTTTAAGAATGGAAAGAACAATCTTGACAACAAACAGAGCTGAGACAACTGAGCATAAAGCCACAACCCTACCTCACACTACACCCCAAATTACCTCACGGGTCATGCATTTCAAATATAAGACATTAAATTATAAAACGCAAGAAAACAGACTAATAACCTTAGAGTAGGAATTTTTTTTTTACAAATAAGTAATAACACAAGCAATAAAAGAAAAACTAGATAAATCACACTCCATCAACATTTAAAGCCCATATTTTAAAGACCATTTTCAACAAGTAAACAGCTTACACAAGAATTACTTGCAAATGACAGATCTGACAAGGGACTTACAGATGGAAAACTTGAAAAACCCATCAAAACACAACAATAAAAGTCTCAATTAAAAACAGGATTTGAGTGTGAGTGTGGTAGCTCATGCCTGTAATCCCAGAACTCAGCAGCAGATACAGGACTGCCCTAAGTCCTACAAAGCAAGTGCTAGGCCAGTTTGCTACACAGTGAAACCATATCTCAATTTGCACTCTGACTCAAAAACAGGATTTCGATAGTCATCTCTCCACAGATGTGCAGATGAACCATAAGACAGGAAAACGGGTCCTTAGGCACCAGCATGATGCAAATCAACGTACGAGGAGACACCTCACAGACAAGGTTGACTGCCACACAGATTGAGGATAATACATGGGCTGAGGAGACAGAGAAACTGGAAGATTCCCCAAGGCCAGGACAGGCAGGATGAACAGCCAAACAAGAAGAGTGTGGCAGTTACCACTGAAGCCAGCAACTCAATCCCGAGGTGTCTATACCCAAGAAAACTGAAGATACACAAAAATCTACACAGGAATTATAATGGTCAAAACTATTAAGAGATTAATTAATTAGGCCACCCAGATGTCCACTAGTTTAACAAGATGGACAGAATGAGGTCTGCCAGTGATGAATATTAGTTGGCCATTAAAAAGAAGTGACTAATGTCTGGATACAAGCTACCACTGGGCTTACCTTGAAAACACTGGACCAGGTAGGAATACGTCATAAAAGGTCATGTCAACCATTTTATGTGCGTCCACAGGTAAACGCACACCAAAGGAAAGTCACATAATGGTTGCTCAGAGTGGAGGGCGTGGGGGAGACAGCAGTGACAGCTCCCAGTGCAGGCTTCTCTCTGGGGTATCACCCTGGAATTGACTGCATTTAAGCTGGTGGGTCACACGGCACATGAGTTCTGCCTCAAGGAAGTGGTTCTGAAAATGGACTTGTGCTGGGGAGGTGGCTTTGTGGGTAAAATGTTTGGCAGACAAAAATAAAGACTTGAGTTTGGCCCCTCAAGACCCAGCTAAAGATGGACACAGCAGCACGTCTGTAATCTGGCTCTCCTATGGTGAGATGAGAGGTAGGGACAGGAGAATCACCAGATGCTGGTGATTGAACACATAGCCAACATGGAGGAGGTGAAGCTGAAGACAGTGTTGTCCTCTGAGCTTCATTCACACTTGTGCTGTACCAACACCCACCCCCCACATGGATGTACACGCACAGACATGCACAGACACACACACACACACACGGATGTACACACACAGACACAGGTGCACACAGACGCATGGATGTACACGCACACGGATGTACACACACACACACACACAATAAGTAAGCTATATATCTGGGGAGAGTGGCTGAGAGCTCGTGGTCAAGGAATGTGCCTTAGCACCCTGACAGCTGCAGTCTCGTCCCAGCACGGACTCTGATCCTGATTCTCCCTCCCTCCCTCTCTCCCCTCCAGACCCTGGGTTTCACCGTCCAAGGCACAAAGGGAGGGAATCTCACTGCTCCAAGTTTTCATCCACTCACTGACAGGAACGCGGAGGCTCTGGGTTCAGTTTGCTGCTCTTGGCAGTCTGCTGACGGACTGCAGCAGAGCACCTGGGGAAGTGGCTCTGCCAGGCTTCCTTTCCCAGTGCTCCAGTGCTTTCTGTGGTCCTGCCCTGAAGAGGGGTTCCCAATACAACTGTAGGGTGGGGCAGGAATGAGTTTAAAAGGAAAGAGCAGACTAGGACTTAGCTTTGAGGACAGTGTGTCCATGGAGCTACTCCTAGCCACTGGGCACAGCTGCCCTGGCGTGCACATGGAAGAAAACTTACCCATAAGGACTTTCAAACATTTTAAATCTTCCACAGAATTAAAATTATTATTTACATAGCTGGACTCTTAGATGAGGCAGGGAATCTTGACTTTTCCTCAGAAGGCTAACTGTAAGCCCTCACTGCAGACACAAGTCCAGGTCCGTAAACTGGGTTTATTCTAAGGGGAGTGGGGGGTGGAGCTCTAATGCTGAGGAAGATTGATGTTGTATGGAGAACCCTGGGACCTCCCTGCTTTATTTTAAAAACTTAATTCCGCTACATCCTAATGAAATGGGTTTCTAAAAATCAAATTTGGGCTCCACGCTGACCAGAGGGCATCTAGTTATGATGTGTGATGAAGTGGGTACACTCCAGAGGGAAACGTCAGCATTACTGAGAATGCCTACGTGTTCTGGAGGACAGTTTGCGGCGAGAGACAGCTAACAGTGGCTGTGACATTCTGGAGTTATCTGGGCTAAGGTCTTCACACATGAGGGGCTCCTCTGCTCTGGAGCAGGGCCCTGGGTTCCTGCCAGCAACAAGAAACTCATATTGTACACACATCCTGGGCAGAGTCCACTGCCCAGGCCTGATACCTGGAAGTTCCCAAGAGCCCCTAACATTTGCTCCACTAGAAAACAGAGGAGACTGTCTGCTCAGTTCACAGGATGTGGTTTGTTCCCCTGGCCACACACAGGGGTTACTTGCAAAGCCTAGGCAGCGGTTGTGTTGGTGTGTGTGTGTGTGTGCAAGGGCATGCATGTGTGTAGTGTATGCATGTATGCAACTGTGAGCAAGGGCATGTGGAAGTCAGAGTTAATACCAGCTGTCCTCAATTGCCCTCTACTTTATCTTCTGAGAAAGGCTGAACCCAGAGCTCTCTCATTTGCTGGCCACTGAATTCTGAGGATAGTCATGCCTGTTTCCCTTCCCTGCAGGGTTACAGATGAGTGTGACAATTGCTTTTGTGGTTGTTATTGTTTTTAGAAAGGGTCTCAGCATGTAGTTTTTGCTGACCTAGACCTCACTACATAGACTAGGTTTGAACTCACAGAGATTCCCTTGCCTCTGCTTCCCAAGTGCTCACATGGGTTCTGGGATCCAAATTTAGGTCATGTTTGCCCCGCAGTCATTTACTGACTGAGCTACCTCTCTAGCCACTGAAGCCTTAGCACAGCAAACTCAGACATCCATCTACAAGCCCCACATTCTGAGTCACCGGAGGAGTCCCTGTGAGAGAGGGACAGAGCCTTCTCCCCACAAAGCACGTTCAGTCTCTTTGCTCTAGGTGGGGTGGGCTGGGGTGGGGCTCGGGATACAAACACTATGTGATCCAACAGTGGCTTCTGCAAGCTGCTACTCCGCTGGGACAAAGCTCTGGGATCTGGCACAAAGAAACCCCAGAACCGAGCAGCCCCGCACCTGCAGCCTGGGGCTGGGCCCAGGGGAGGGATGCCAGCAGCCCTGGCGACTGGCCAGTCTACCTCTCTCTGGGGCACTGAATCAGATGCAGTAGGTAACTAGCCAAAAAGCAGAGAGAAAGCAAAGGAGAAGACAAGACAAGAGGGAGAAAACTAAACTTTGGACTGGAAGGGTCTTTTTAAACACTAACCCTGCGGTGCTAAAGGCTGGCACTGGCCCCTGGACCAGGAAAACCGACTTCCTCAGCCAATGTGTTAAAGAGAAGGCTGCTAATCAGCTAAATAGAAACTGGAATCTGTTCCCATCAAGTCTCTTTCCCGTCACCAGAGGGACACGCAGTGCTCTGAAATACACTCTTGGCATCACTTGGCAGGCAGCCCTATTGTGCTGAGCATGGCCAGTCTCTTAGGTTATTGTTTTTAATATCAGAAAGCGAGCTTTTCTGTGCCAAACAAATTCTGTAACAGGGGGACAAAAGATATTCCAAGTGGTCTCGCTGGACCATCCACCAACTGCCTGAAAAGAGGACCAACCATCCTGTGTGCTTCAGAAGCGAAGCGGAGGCATAGAAGGTCCAACTATTACCTAATGCAAGACTTCGCTCCAAGTCCAGAGGATGGAGTGGGGGTTGGGGACTGCAGGCAAGGCTCAAGCATGAGGCACTCACGCTCAGGGCCACAGATGAGCATCATTTCAGCACGGACCTACCTCCTGTCCATGTTGCCGCTGACCATGAGGTGGGGAGGGCTGTCCCGGAGGTTGACACAGGTGAAGTCACCGAGCGCATTGCCGAGCTTTGAGAGACAGCGTTCTGCTTCCAGGCTATACACCAGGATCTGAGAGGGGGAGAGCATAGGTGTCAGTTTCACACGGCAGAGGGATGTCACACACTTCTTACTGTGCTACCTTTGAGGAATGAGCATTTCACCGTCCCCAGAAGACACTGGGTTACTCAATGGCTTGGACACTTCCCAGGGGCATAACTACTCAATTGACAAAAGACCAAGAAAGGGAAACCAAAGAGGTCCTTGGCCAAAGCAAAAGCAGGAGAAAGAGACACATGAATGGTGGGTCAGCAGCCTGCTTTCCCCCACACTGCTGCACTGAAGCCCAGCCCAGGTGATTGTTTTCTGTTTGTTTGAAAGGAAAGAAGGCTACAGGTCACTGGCTTTGAATTCGGGGTTAACTGAAGAGCGTACAGAGGCCCTAGGAAGCTGCACCAGACAGTGTATGGAGCTACGGCCCAACAGCACCTTCTTCCGTCTTCTTCCCCACTCTCCCCTCGGTTTGGTCATGAAAGCCGGTGAGAAGATGCTTGTGGGCTCCACATGGTGCAGTCCTCCTGGAAGGTGTCTGCACTGCTTCCTCAGCAAAGGGGAATAAAGGACGGATTGCACAGAAGCCCCGAGAGTTTTTTAATGAAAGAAATTATTAGCACATGGGAGGCATTCAATGAACAGTACAGGACCCAGGCCTCCTCACTGCACCTCTGCTGACTTCTGCTGAGCATGTGGTGAGCACACTGAGCTGGGTTTGCAGAGCAACTCAGCGGCACTCCTATAGAGACCATGCTCTCTCTTCTGGTTAACCCAGACACTTCTGAGTGGAGAGTCTTATGTCTGTCCTGAGAAATTCCTAGCAAGTAAAATCATCTCCTCCTTGGGAACAATACACATTTCTATACCTGAATCTTTGAGACTCTGTGGTTGTCTAACACTGGAAGGAAAGACAGCAGAAGTCACAGATTCTCAGCACCTAATGCACAAGCCAAGATGCAGCTAAGATGAAAGGTTCCTGACAGAAAGTTGGGTTTGTTTACTTATTTATTTTAAAAACAGGGTCTTGCTATGTAGTTCTGACTGTCCTGGAACTCAGCCTGTAGACGAAGCTGCCCTTGAACTCAGAGATCCCCCCATACCTCTGCCTCCTGAGTGCTGGAATTAAATCCCTAGCTCCTGACAGAAAGTTGTTTCTAACAGACACGTGATCAAATCCATCTTCAGCAAATGAGCTGGACATTATCACAGGTGGCTCCTCAAGGATGAAAAGTGAAAACCAGCAACCTGATGGTGTGTCTTGAGAATGTCCCCAGCACTGAGTAGTGTCTGTGGAAAGACACTCCAGTGCCCTGCTCTGCACGCAGAGAGGGTCCACAGTGCCCCCCAACAAGCACAACTACTGGGGGACAGTTTTAAAAGAGTGACTCATCTTTTTGGAGCAACCATTTTGGATTTAATTATCATCACAGATTTCAATATTTTGGATTGATCTGTTTGTTTTTAAAGTACACCAGTGCACACAGCAGGAAGGCAGATGGACCTACAGGAGCAGGCAGAGGTAAAAGTACAACGACTGAGGCTCACACAAGCCAGCAGCAGCCTTCACTTTTTTTCCAGTTCTGTTTTGACAAGTGGATCAATCATCTCTGAGTGGTACAGGGAGACAATCCCCGCCAAAAAGACTGCAAATTCATCATAAAGACATCTAAGTCAGCAGTCAAGGATTTCTAAAATGTTCAATAATTCAACGGATCAGAACTATCCAAAGAGAACCTTTACCATTGCGTTTAGTTAAAGACCACAGAGATTGGAAAACACATTACCATCTCGAAGGCAGGTCTTCCACGCTACAAGTCCCTTAACGACCTTTACCATGGCTCCCTCCCTCCCACTCTCTCTCTCTTTTAATAAGGTTGAGCAAATGGGACTTCATTTTATCTGATTGCCACAGACGAGTGATATCAATTATTCATGCTCACACTCCCTCTTGTTAAGACCATGCATTAGACGAATTTTTCTCTTTATTGCCCTGCTTGGGTGAGTCTTAACCCACGACCACTTGAGTTGTTCTCAGAGGTGTTCAGAGATGCTGGAGAGAAGGGGAAACTCCCCCACCAGATGCAATCTGGGAGCAGATGCTCGGCACTAATGTGGCCAGCGAGTCGATAGAGCGGCCAAGCAGCAAATGCAGGTTCAGCAGTGTTAGCAGCAATCATGGTGCAGGCATGTGCTGTCATCCTCTGTGCTCCTAGGAGTTCTTTCTAAAGCGAAGCCCAGACTGCTGTGTATGTTGAAGACATCTGCACGAGATGCGCTATGAGATCGAGTTCTCGTGTCACTGTTTTCTAGTGGACCTGCATCACCCCCACGTGAACAGAAGCATCCTCTTCGTAAGGGACTGGACAGGGAGTTTTCCGTTTCTGCTTACTTCCCCCTCTGAGAGCTGAAGTCATTTCTGATAAAACATAGCTTTCGAATCCTGACTTTCAACTATTCTGACTGGTCTCAACTATACTTTTAAAGATATATTACAACTGAAAGACTGTAATGTATCTCATAGTAAGTTATAAGAATAAATTACATAGTAGAAGAGTGTGACCCATCTCCAGGAACCAGCCACCCAGAACAGTCTGGTAAGAACAGGTAGATTTTGAGTGTGAGGGTCCATCTCTCTTGCTCTGAACATACCAGGCATTTCTGTGAGCTTGGTATTTCACAGCTGCTTCTCCACAAGTAGCTCTGGTTCTTCTGAATGGAGAACTTTTGTGCATATATAATTCCATATGATAAGTTGTTTCTATTCAGTTTTTGATAAAACATCCAACAGCCAGTGACAAACACTTATGAATCCTCTTCTGTGCAGCAGGACTGGAGTGAACGGGTGTGGCAGCCAACATAGTGACAGCTGAAAGAGCTGTGTCTGTACCAGCTGCTGCTAGCCCAGCCGCCCCACGCTCCCACACATGGGACCTGCCTCTTCTGGGACCACAGAGCCATCGTGCTGCTATGCCCTAGCAGCTGGGGTCTCAAGCAGGAGGAGGGCTGTTGTACTGGTCACACAGTCAGGATGGAAATGGTCACAGGTCCAACGTCTAGAAAGCATCAGCAACTACTCTGGGCAGGGAGGTCTGTATCTTCTCCATGTGACTAGTTTGTGCTGGATTCTAGAGGCTGCGGGATTCTAGCCAAATCCTGATGGAAGGGCCAGAAGATGGCTACTACCCTCTCAGTGGGGTTGGTTCAAAGCCTGCCACCTGCTCCTCCACCCTTTGAAATCAGGACTCAGCACAGCAAGTTCTTCCTAAACACAGGACTGACATCACCCATCTGTGAACATGAGCCACCAACAGACAGAGATGTCTTCAAAGAGCTTTGGAGCCTTGCCGAGAGAGAAACTGTGTCATGTTCTGATGAACAAGGAACACAACTCTGAGTTTAATTTTACCAAAACTGCAGAAAGTGGCTGGCTCACCTCCTCAGGACCTTAGCCACCTTGGCAACACGGTCAGCAGTGGACAGAGCCTCGTCCCACAACAACTGCACTAAGAACCTTTGGAATCCAAGAGTGTTTGCCTGCTCCCCTTTAAGCAAGGGGTGTGTTGAATGGACTCAGAGGGAAGAGCTGACCCAAGGGTTGCAGACTGTAGACACAGCTGCCCGCTCCCTCCCTGCCACCCTCCGGGCCTCTTCCTTCACTACCACATACACTTTGCCCTTTGAGAAAAGCCATGGTCAGAAGCCAGTTCTGAACAGAGAGCGCCGGCTCGCACTCTCCATCTGCACCCACTTTAAGTGTACTCTGCCCTGTCCACTACCACCCTTGGCATGAAGGCTTCTCCCCTCTCAGCAGAGCAGGGGGTGTTTTTGGTCAATGCACTGCATCTGGTGTTCCCAAGTGCCACCCTGAACCATGTCATCAGCCTGCAGCTCGCAAACAAGGAGGGGAAACAGCCCAAGACTGCAGTCTTGAAGGCCGGGTGCGGATTTGTTACCCAGCTCTTACACAGTGGAGAGTGCTTCCTCAACCAGGGCTGTAAGGTCCCTGGAGCAGAAATGCTGCTGCCCACTGCCTTTCAGCATGACTAGCAGGGACCAGATGCCATGGTAGTTATGTGGGCCTGCATCTTGCTAGGTGTGTGCATTTGTGTTTGGTGATAACCAGCTAGGATTGGTAACCAAGCAAACCTAGAATCCACTCCGGTTTGTGCTTAACTCTTTCCTCCATTAGGTGACCTTGGGGATCCACAAGGAGATGTCTCATCCTGCCCCAATCCTGTGGGCTCCCTTGTTGTCTGACAAGTTGGCAGACCAGGAAGCCTGGTAGTAGTGGATTTTAACTGTATTGTATTTTTTTTAAGTTTTTAATTTTTTTTTAGAGATTTTTATTTATTATGTACACAGTGTTCAGCCTCCACGTATGCCTGCAGGCCAGAAGAGGGCACCAGATCTCATTACAGATGGTTGTTAGCCACCATGTGGTTGCTGGGAATTGAACTCAGGACCTCTGGAAGAGCAGTCAGTGCTCTTAACCTCTGAGCCATCTCTCCAGCCCTTAATTGTATTTTAATAAGACTGCCTGAAGATTTGAGAGTAAAACAATCCCACTGGTCAGCTTTACAGACCAGATTATGATAGCACACACCTTAATTCCAGTAGCCACACTAGTTGCCTTAGAAACTGGTTGGGGCATGCCTTTAATCCCAGCCCCAGAGAGGAATATAAAATGGGGGAAGATAGCTCTCAGATGCAGTCTCCTGAGATTCCACGAGACAGGATCGCCATTTCAGACTGAGGTCGAGGTAAAAACCAGTGCTGGCTGTTTTGTTTTTCAGATCTTCAGGTTGAACCCCAATTTCTGACCCCGAGTTTTTATTAATTCGTGTTTCACCTAGCAAACAGCTTCTCAAATCAAGTCTGTTACCAAACAGCCTTTTGCACATTCCATTCACTCAAGGGAAGCAGTACAATCCACAGAAGCCCAAGGTGATGGGAGCACTGAGACCAGAAAGAAATGAGGGAGCCTGGCCAGGGGCTACTCTGGGGACACCTGACAATGC